CACAACAGTATAAATGTGAAATCCACCTTTTGGTGATGCTCCCTGTGGTGCTTCTACTCCTACCGGACACAACGTCTATGAATATTTCATTGTTCTAACTGCATACGTCTGTTTTTAAACCTAAACATTGGTCAGATAATGTTATATGTATACAGTAGTTCTGTTGAGGGACAGGAAAGAGGTCGTTTTTGGCATGTGGTGTTTATGAGCCGGCCTCGCGGAGGTCACAGCAGTCCTATGAGCATGTTGTTTGCATGTGGCTGCGTGTTTGTGATTACACGTTTCCGTGTGTTGTAGGCATACAATTGAAAATTGCAACTACTGTGCTGCAGGGCTCGAATTCTTTGATAGGATCTCCTGTTCAACAATGTCACACGGCACATTAGAAGCACGAGGCCTTACCCCGTGGCCATTAAAGGTCAGATCTGTGATGTTCCTGGGCACGACTTCACGGTGCAGTCACACACATGATGGATTTAATTAGCATGTAGGGGGCTGAGTCTAAAATATAAACCGGATTTTATGTTTACTCATGTAAACAAACCTTTAGCAGCACTATTAAATAATAACATTAATGTGGTTGCAGCAAAGTGCATTTCAGAGTGACAGTGGATTTTGGTAACTCTTTGGTTTGCACCACAGGTTGTGCCTTTGACCTTTGCTGAAGCGGCGTGAACACCGTGGCCTGTTCTGATCCGTGTTTAACAGCAGTTCCACAGGTCGGGACCTCTGAAGTCGTCTGCAGAAGTGAGGCCATTTAACTTCTGCACCTTTGACAAGTGTTTATAACCCCGCAGTTGTAAAGTCTGCCAAAGTGAACCCAGGAGTGTTGTGCTGATGTTCAGAGAGGAAAACAATAAAGCTGTGAAAATGTAGGCCAGTAGTGTCACGTAGCTGGAGGATCATTTCCATCTTATTGGTCATAGAAGTGTTTTATCCTCTCGTCCTCACTGACACCTTGTTCCTCACACACACAGAGCTCTGCACGCTGTGATATCTAAATGGGCCCACTCTCCGCCAACTGACCCCCTTTTAGCAGAGCACTTTTTGAACATTTGCCAAAAACTGATAAAAAGCAGAAAGGGAGTGAGCGTGGCGAGAAACTCCTGGGCTGTAGATAAGACCCCAGCATCAGTCAGTATGTGGAGACAGGCCAGAGAGGGTTAGCGGGGGGTTAAGGTGAGGGTTAAAGGCAAGTAGTCCTCAAGTTTGAGATGTTCCATAAAGAAAGAGGGCTTATTATTCTCTTTGGCTCTACCGGTGTTTCTCTGCTGTGTCAGTGGCACCCAGGCCATTTACCTCCGAGGTCAGGTCACACATGTGGAGTTTTGAAGATAAAAAAAGGTGCATAAATCTACAAAAAAGCTGCTGAAGAAATGTTATTAAAACAGGAGCGAACAGTGCATTTGTTGGGGACTATTTTTAGTTAAATCAACATGTTAAAAGCAATATTTGGTGTTCCAGTGAGTGTTTCCTGCAGCACAATGCTTTTGGATAAACAGCTTGTTATTTCTTTTAGGTACAATCAATGAATTATTGGTTTAAAGCTTTAATGCAGATTTTTTAAAGTGACAAAGACTCTTGGAAACAAACACGAGGGGTATCTTTGGTTCGAATATTACATTTGTCGTTCTGAAATCCCGTTAATCCAGGTCATACCTCCGTTCTCAGTTGTTTGTTTTACGGAGATAAAAATAATGAGTGGATGAGTGAAAACCCCGCCGATGCCAAGTTATGGAATAATCAAGCGCAGCACGAGAGCCAAAAGGAAACAAAAAAAGATGAACATTCTCAGACAAAATGACCGAGGGGCAACAAAAAGAGCATTGTCCACGTTGTTGGGTACAAACTTCAAAACAAGAGGCCAAACACAATGCGGTGACCCCCGAGGTTAAGCACACAAAGGAAGGAGGCTTCAGTTCGGCCGCCGTCACATGACCGGCCTCCGAGATTCCACCATAAAAATCATGTGAAGTGTCATCGTGTCGTATAAGTGAAATAAAACCCACAAGCAGGGCTGTTAAAGCACAGCGGTGGTGAAATCTTCCACCATAGAAGAAGAATGCAGATGGATATTTTTAATCTGATTGTTCCATCAGTGTTGAATTCATGCTCAGTGTTGCAGAAACGTTTGTGCTGTGCATCACAGTAATATTCCATCGTGCCTAAGTGGAACAACATGTTCACCTTTGCTTCGCGGGGCATTGTAAAAATTATTTCGGACAAAGACATTTTGTTAATGATCATCAGAATAATGGGAATGTGCACCCGACCACGGCCGCTGTCCTGATTGGCGCTTAAGCTAACAATAACTCGCGTGTCTTTAAAAGGACCTTGGCTGGATTGCCCTCGGACTGCAGGGTTTCTGTTGGCGTTTAAAGTCATCTGATGGTTATTCAATGATTAGCCCGGGGTGTGGGGGCCATCAAATATCCACGAACCATAAAACGAGAGCGGAGCCGTTGTGCGTAGATGGAGAAAGGACATTCTTGTGACGCAGCCAAACAGGAAACCTCCGTGATGGCAGCATCTTGTCTAATCATGCTGCTTCTTATGAAGAATCTCGACTGCTTTTATGTGTGATTAGCTGAGCCACATCCTTCCACAGCACAAAGAGGTTCTTTGGGACGGTCGCCAAACACCTTGAATGGGATAATGATGTACACAGTTAGTCATACATTATAAAGAAACCTATGTCAAGGTCACCCACATCCAAACATACATTGAGTTGTCCTGGAAATGGTGTAGTATAAACAAGGATATATTGACCTGACCGTGAACTTTGCCTTTAAGGAAACTGCTTCAGACATAATGAAAAAACTAAAAAACATAAAAGAAGAACAGAGAATGATAAAAAAAAAAAAGAACAACCAGCAGCCATTTAGAAGCACAATAAATCATTTTATGGGTGTTTTTTATGTGCAGATAATCAGAAAAGTTAAATATATTGCATGTTTTTCAGTTTTTTGCCCACTCACTCGGCTCTGGATTGCTGTCGTCTTCTCTGCTAATTTACATTATTTCCATCCTGTGGCCCATTAAGCAGGACGTTAATGTGAGTTCTGAAGTTTTATGTTTGTGAATAGAGAAGGAAATGGAACGCTTCTGCCACAGACAGCACCTGAAGTGAGCGTCTGGATTTGTTTAACAAACTGGATGAAAAAAGGGCTCTGGAGCGAAAAGCTTGAAACGGTCTCCTGACAACACACAGTGATTGTTCATTTGGCTAAAAATGGGTGCAAAGGATTGATGCCACATCCAGGGACAGTCATTTGTAAATGGCAGCACAGAAAGCACATCTGTTATCCCAAAAAATAAAAAAAGACTCATGGATTTAAATGATCCATCACAATGTCAGCTGTGTTGTTTAATCCAGCAATTTTAAAACTGATATGTCACAAAAAACAAAAAGCCCGAGTAGCTCTGCAGCAAATTCACAGTTTTTGATGATTGATATTTTTCAGAGTCTAAATAATGTGTTTTTTTAGTGACTACATTATATTAATTGATCCTCCAGCAATCAAAGCACTGACCTGTTTGTGCTTCTGCAATTTGCTTCTTGTTGATCGGCAGGCAAACACTCTGAGAAAACTGTTGCCTGCTCAGCCTCCTATTACGTTTGACACGTTTCTGGCTTGCATTCAGCTTAACGTGACACTTGTCTCGCTGCCTTTGCGGTCGTGATTTGCTGCACTCGCTTCCTGAGCTGCTGGCACACCAGCCAGACGCTCACTGCACAGAATGTCGACATGGAGGAAAAGTCTTGAATCGCGACAGGGAAGCTGTGCTGGCAAAGAGAAACAGGAGACCCAGAGACTGAACAGGATATTTGCTTTACAACAATGCAGGATGGAGATGTGTGAACGCTGTGAAAAGGTTCATGCAGAGTCGTAGTTTTTAAGGAAACGCTCGTCTGTCCGTCTTCTTTTGTAAACGGAAGATGCATGATAGAGTTCAGGTTTGGTCACGGTCTGCTGTTGGTCAAATTGTACGACGAATTCAAACTGATTTAGCAGAACTGGACAGAGATGTAGAAACAGCTGCATGTCCTGCTGACAGTCCAACAGCCTGAGGATGAAGCCTTTAACATCACCAACCCGCTCATCAGTCACTGCTAAGGAGCTCGATAATGAAACCTGGTCCCACATTTACACAACAACCAGCTACAGGAAATGCAAGAAGACTTTCAAATTAGTCTGAATGCAGCGGGGGGGTGGCTCGGTGGTTGGCACTGTTGCCTCACAACGAGAAGGTTCGCGTCCTGGTGGGGGCACCGGGATCTTCCTGCGTGGAGTCTCCATGTTCTCCCCGTGCAGCGTGGGTTCTCTCCGGGTTCTCCGGCTTCCTCCCACAGTCCAGAAACATGCTGAGGTTAATTGGTGATTGTAAATTGTCCGTAGGTGTGAATGTGAGTGTGCTTGGTTGTCTGTCTCTAAGTGTAGCCCTGTGATAGACTGGTTACCTGTCCAGGTGAACCTGCCTTCACCCTGAGTCAGCTGGGATAGACTCCGCCCCCCATGACCCTAGTGAGGATTAAGCGGTATGTAGATAATGGATGGATGCAGCGGTTTACACAAAAACTTAGTCATTTGAAACCCTTGTAAAAGTTAGAAAACAGACAGAACATGGTCCCAAAACATTCCCTGAGCTTGGATCTATTCGCTGCAAACATCTGAGCCAGCATGCAGCACACATCTAGATGCTCAGAGTGGTGTCAGGGCTCAGGCGTGCTCTGCTGATGTGCCCCAACACTCGGCGTCCGCCCCCTCACATGTCAGCAAGATCCTTCTTGTTTTTTCTCCTCAGTGATAGCAGATTTATCAATGAGTGGAACAGCATCAGTCCAACAAGTTCTGCTTCTTTCTCTGCTTTTTGGTGTTAAACCGACATTCAGGTACTAAATAAATAGCTGCTATTTATAGTGAGGAGGTGCAGAGAGGAGCAGAGAAAGAGACGAAAATCTCAGCTCACATATTTGAGCATCATTGAGAAGATGAAGCTTCTTATGTTGAAACAGTATTTTATTTGAGACGAGGCCACAGAGCAATGCTTTCCACTCAAACTGTCTCCTTTGATCAGGCTGCATCGCTAACACCACCCAGAAGGGGTTCAACAGATTCATTTTCCGGTACTGAGCCACAGCAGAACGACACTCTTGTTTTTCCACCGAAGAGCTCGTCTCTGGGTGCTAGTAGATAATTATACAGGAGCGCTGCCACCAAACTGCCACTCATCGGTCCGGCCCAGAACACCTGAAAAAGCCAAATAACAGAACAGGCGTTACCGGCTTCAGTAGGAAAGGCTCACGAGGCCTTGCAATATGTTTTCATCTCCGACATACGAACCCAGTGATCATCAAAAGACTCCAGGATAATTGCAGGCCCAAAGGATCGAGCTGGGTTGATGCCGCATCCTGTGAAGCTGATCTAGAAACCATATCAGAGGAAAACACCACTTGCCTCCCTGGCTGCACATCAGCAGATTACAGGATGATTTACAACCAGCCCATCCTAAGCCGGTCTATTGTATCAGGCCACAGCAACACAGAGAAACCATCTGCCAAATTAATAACTAAGGGAGGAAAAGAAAAAGGAATGTTTTGATGGACTCACCCCAGCAAGGTGTCCCAGCACTACGGAGAGCCCGATGGCCAGAGGTGCAAGTCCGCTGAACTCACGCCGTTTGTCAGTGACTGCCAGCACACACAGGACCAGCTGAAGTGTGAGCATGAACTCGGTGCCAAAACCTTGACGTGGGCTGATTCCTTTCAGCTAGAACAAACGAGAAAATGATCAGAGGATTCTCCCGTCCTGCAGCAGCAGCGTATACAAACAGAGCCTGGTGCAAAGCTTTTATTGCTGCTTTAAGATGCTCGAAACTCAACACGCTGCATAAACCGAATCTAGAATTATGACCGATTCACGACTTAAGTTACGAGAAGCTTTCATCCTGTTCACTCCCCGACTCGCGTGTTCCTTCTTTTATTGCACAACAGCTTCAAACCACGTGTAATAATTAAAATTTGACATTTAAATTAAAAACTGCTAATCACCGGCTGTTTGCAAATGTGGGAGATTAGAAAGACGTTGACAGAAAACCAAGTCAGGCTGAAGGCGATTCCTCAAATGCCACTCACTCAGACAGCTAAATGTGAAGCGTTTCTCCACCTCACCTTGTTCACACCCAGTGACTCTGTGGCTTCTGGCCTGACGCCGTACACGATGGCGCTGCCGGCCACCGCCCCCAGCAGCTGGGCCATCACGTAGAAGAAGGCCCTGAGGGCGCTCATCTGGCAGCTGGTCAGGAGGCCGAAGGTGACGGCGGGATTCAGGTGAGCGCCGCTGACGTGACCGATGCAGTAGGCCAACGTGGCGATGGCCAAACCAAAGGCAAACGCCACTTTTACCTCCTGGTCGGGCTGAGAACTGCTCTGGTCGCCTACTGCAGCAGTGAGGCCGATGAAAATAAAGATCACCATCCCCACAAACTCTGCCAGAACTGCCCTCCAAAATGCCCACATTTTGACTTCTGACATCGCTGCTCGGACGAAGTCACGTTCATGCGAGTGCGCAGATCTTTGGTTGCTCTTGAAAACACACTAATGGGCCGTGGCACAGATGTTCGGTTCCACCAGCAGCCCAACTACAGACATCATGGGCGACGTCCTGAAGCCTTCATCAGGGGTTTGGCTTTTAAAAATTCAGGCCTGATTAGAAGCAGCTGAGTGATCTGTGTTTCAGCCAATGAGAGTGACCTCCACGGCTCCTGCTCTGTTCAGTTCCTTTTTCCAGTTTAACTCGAGCTGCTTTGACTGTTGTTCACAGCTCATTTAGGACCACGACAAGCTGTTAGTGTGAGCGTGATGAAGTGTTTACTGGATAGATTGGACAGAGACGGAGAGAATAGGTGTTTAAATCAACATTGGCTAAATTAATGGTTTTTGAAATGAAAAAGAAAAGACTTGCAGCAGTGAACAGCTTGCAATTAAAGTTAATTAAAGTTTGGATTTCCATTGTTTCCTGTGACATACAAGTGAAAACAGGCTCTCTTTGAATAAGTAATGTTTGGTGAATTAAAACCATCTTAACTTTATTGAATGCAATAATTTGGCTTCATTTCTACCACGAGACACAAAGACGTCCATCGGATGAAGGACACACTTTTTTTTTTTTTTTGGCCAAAGTCTTTGTAAATGTTTTCCCTATCTTTCAGTCCACTTGTTCTATTCTGAGCATGTGTCATGCAGGGCTGCTTGCATTGAAGTTAACATCAGTCATTTGCCACTGTGAAGGAAATGGGACCTTTTGAATTCATGACAAGGAAACCAGCCTCCCGTTCTGCCTTTCTGTGTGAAAGCCCTGACAGGTTAAAAGGTCAGCCTCCTCCTTGTCTTCCTTTTCAGAAGACAGAATGAGAAAAACCTTCTAAAGCATCTCCCCCCATTTTCCTTTATCAGAGAACTGTAGCTTTACTTGCATATTTTTGCTGCATATTTTCATGCTTTGGGGAATTCTGCTCCCTATTGACAAACTAAATAATAAAATTTGTTTCCCGCTACGGCTCTGACTATAACATGTGCAGCCTTATTTTGTAGGAGCAGGATGGAAGAGACGTAATGAGCCGAACATAATCAACACAATAGAAAAATGGAGAAATATCACAATAATATGACTCACAGAAGGAACAAATGTGATGCCTCCCAACCCTGTGAGCTCTGTTCCTGCCAACTCTGCACCACAGGGCAGCAAACTGCCAACCACATTTCATTCAAAGATCACCTTTTTCTTAAATCTTTCACCACACACGTATTAGGAAGTGAACTCCTGGATGCTGGTGCATTCGGTAAGGCTTCCTCGTGGGGAAGTGACAGTGTCAGAGGCTTAATGCAAACTTCTGTGCACAAGAAAACATTAAAGTTAAAGGAATTAGGATGTATTAAAGACATACTATGATGTGTACAATCAAAAAATTAGATGCAAATCAACAATGTTTGAAATCCCATTCTTCTGCTGCTGAATTCAGTTTAGGATTATAAAAAATTAGCTGACGTAAGGTTGCGTTAAGGCAACATGAATCAAAGAAAAGAAGATATTTCAGCTTTTGTCAGTGCTTTTTAATGCGTGGCTTTTTGATGTTAAAGGTTTAAAACACTCAGAAAAAGTACTGATAATAGAACAGCGTGGAAAGCTGCAGAAGTAGCTGCAGTTTAGGATGCGGCTAACGCCTGGGTCGGACGGAAAGATGCTTAAAGAGGGTCGTAGAGGCAACAGAAACCAGCTTTGATCGAGTGCCGGTGGAAGCTTCTCGTCATGTGAGTGCCTTCCAATCACCCACCGACGTAAATAAAATACAAATACAGGTCATCTCCCAAATCCAGTCCTTCAAGATTCAAGATTCAAGAACCTTTATTGGTCACAAATACAATTACACACAGTACAACGCGCAGTGAAATGTGTTTTGCACCAGACCGAAACAATTATAACAATAAGAAGAATAAGAAGAATAAAACCACACAAGAAATAAACAGAAATAAGCAAAATAAATGAATCAAAGAGTCACATGGTGCAACAAAAATCAAAATATATGTGCATACACAAGACGAGGCGTAAACACTGTCCAGAGGTGTTCGGATGAACCCGGGGAGGGTTTAGTCCGCGGCCTGTTATGAAAGTGGGACCTCAAACTAGCTGAGAGATTATAGGATTAACGCAGACTATTTAATCAAGCAGAAAGGGAAGCAAGTCAAGTATATAATCAATATGTACGCTGGTCTGCTAAGCAGAGTAAAATGGCACTTACGACTTCAAAGGCTTTTCCTTCCCGTTGCTTGAAGTGGCTGAAGACATAATATGGCAAATAAATGGCAAGTTTAACCACAGAAGACGCTGGAAAGTACATCAGAAAATCAGTTTCTGTTGCTCAGTGAATTCATCTTTAGCAGGTCATCCTAAAGAAAAAAAAAGTAGAATCCAGGAGTTACAGTTAGAGGAGCAGCTGTTTTATTACTGGAAAGACTTCCACTGAGTCCTGGTGGTTTTCCTTTATCACCACTCCTCATCACATCATATCTAATATCACATATTTCACCAGTAAAATCCTCTGCTGTTGTGAGTTACAGCACTGATAAGGCTGATTAACAACACAGCTGCTACAAGCTTTGTGGTCAGTTTATCAGAATACATCTGATTCACACTCTTATACATTTTCACAGTGAGATAAAACATGTTTGTGAACCATCGGGCAGAGAGCAGCGACCAGAGCGGAGCAGGAGAGTTTCCATGAATGTTGGGAAACTGCTGCTTTCTTAAAAACAAGCTGCACCGATGCAATATTTTCAAGTTGGGACTTTAAATCCACAGAAAACTGCTTCCTGGAAAACATTTTCAGAGGTTGAACTGGTACCGGAAAACACTGACCGATGTGACGATAAATCTGACACTTCTTAATCCTGCTCTATAATTTCTGTGGACGTACAACAATAGAAGTTTTGGATTTATGCCCCCAAAACAAGTGGGAAAGGGAAGAAAAGGAGACAAACAAGAGAGAAAACAAGATGAGCTTCAGTGAGCAGATAATCCTCACATCACACCGGTGGAGGGCGAGAGGCCTCATTAACCACCAGCGACTCGAGGAGGGGTTGCAGTAATGGAGCAGGGCAGCGGATCGAGCCCTCAATTCTGCAGAAATTTCTCCTGGAAGTGGACTCAATCTCAGAGTCATTTGTGCAATCCTGCATTCATCGTTTTCACATCAGAATGTCGTGGACGCCTGAGAGGAGCTCCTCCAAACTGGTCAAACACCGTTCAGTCGCAGAGGCACGATTATGAGCTGGGATTAAACTTTAAACAGTTCGCCTTCACCGAGGCAAAGAAACATGACAGAAGACGCAGGAGTCAGCAACACACTAGCGAGTGGTACTGGTGAACAGATGAAACAGGGACGGGATCAGTTACAGGACCTGAGGGGGGAGCATGTGGGTGAGGCGCTGATGCTGCGGCAATGACAGGATCTGGATCGACAGCAGAGACGGTGTAGGCTGGGTTTAGCTTGAGAAAAACCCAACAAGAGCTGTCCTTTAACAGAGGCGGGGCACAAAAACTGATAAAGAATCTAACAAAACAAAAGAAAAAACTCAGTTTTCTCTACACACATCTCCAGATTCAGGTAATACTAAAGATGGCTGCAACACTCCTGGTGTCCAGGCAGGTGGTGCGTTCACTGCCACAAAATCAGAGCCACAAAACGACTTGCTTTGTTTTTTTTTAAAAATGTTTTTCGTGACAGCACCTCCACATATATTGTGCTAGTTCGTCCTCATTCTTTACCATGTTTTCTCTGGTGATATGAAAATAATCTATATAATACAACAACCCCACCTCTGTTAAAGGGCAACGCGCAGCAGCTTCCTCTGCTTTTTTTCCCCCCACAAGACTTTTACTGTCTTCCTTCCAAAAACAGGCCGATCTGAATGAAAGAACCGTGCAGCGAGCAGAGCCGTGTGGTCCTGGTGTCCAGCTCAGCGTCTCCTAATGCTTCATCCACTGTCAGTTCACCTCCACGTCATAACAAAGGAGGATGTGAGCGGCCGGAAGCGGCGCACAGACAAAGTGCGGCACAAAGAACCCGAGGTCGGCTGTGTCGGCTCGGTGGAGGAACCAATACAAAGGAAACAAGGAAGAAAAAAGCCCTGCAAGGTTGCTTCCAGCTACACTTTAGCATCATCACCTGGCAAGCTGCTGCGCGGGTCGGTCACACATTTCCTAGTGGACCACTTTAGAGTATTTCTACTGTTTACCTGCATTGAAGGAGCTGCAGCTGTCCAGAGTTGTAAAATCCTCCAACACAGCATTTAAAATATTTCTACTAATCCCTCTAATGCCTAGAATTTATTCTCCATCACAGCCTGAGCAACACACCCCCGTCAATGCAGCAATTTGCATTTTTAAACGCATTCTTTCCCTAAGTTCAACCGATACGACCTTAACATTAACCCTTTATCTTTTCCATATCTTCGCCCTTCCCCCCGACACACACTCACTCTGCTGTGCACCAAGTTTTACTGCAGAGAACTCTCTTCGCTCCAGAGGCTTAATACCAGCACGCTGTGTGAAGGATGAACAGAACCGCTGCTGTCAGATAAAGGCCGAGGCGGAGAAATCTCAAGCATTAGCTGTTTCTTCACCGCTGGAGGAGTAACTGTCGCCGATTTGGCAATTTGAACACGAGTGGGAGAAGCCATCAATAAATCTGCAGCAGCAGCTGGACGGACAGAGAAGAAGAAGACACAGGGAGATAGTGATGGTTCCATTCATTTGGCCTAATAATCCGCACCGGCTCATGCAGTTACGGTTTCTGACAGTTTTGACTCTTCGCACGCAATTTCATCTCAAGTAGTCACACTGCGAGGCTGCAGAGACGAGTCGGCATCGGCTCTGAAATGTTTCTCAGTGTGTGTTGGATAATGAAAACATGTCCAGTCAGACCAAATTACAAATGTACTGACAAACAGCTAGCTGCTCGGGTTTAGCTCTTCTCTGATCCTCGTTTGCTTTAAGACCAGTCGTTCACTTTGAATGTGAAAGCAGCTGTCCTCCGACCATCAGGTTGGTGGTTCCATCCCCGGCCTCTCCACACTTGAAGTGTCCTTGGGCAAGACACTGAACCCGAAGTTGCTTCCAATGGCAGGCAGCAGCTTGCATGGCAGCTCTGTGGCCGTTGGTGTATGAATGCAGAAACACATTGCAAAGGGCTTTGAGTGCCGCTAAGGTAGAAAAGTGCTGTATAACTGCAGACCATTTAGCACATCAGGTTACAGATCTGATGTTGTCTTTTTAAGGCGGCGTGGCTTATTTTTGGTTGGATCTGAGTCACAGCCTGATGAACAAGATAAACACAAGACTGTAATCCCAACTTTCTAAACCTCAGGTGGCTCAAATTTAGGATTTGCAAATGAGTCAAAATCTAGTTTTAACGCTCTAATTATCTCAATTCACAGGCTTCTTACAGTGTTTTATCCACCAATCAGCTCAATTAAATCACTCCCCAGTGCTGTTGAAACAGAGTTTTAAGATGTAATAAGATACGATCTTCTAGAATATGTAATTAGGTGTGTTTTCTTTGCATTTAGAAGGATCACAACACGCACAAATCACAATGAAGAGCAAAGAGCAGCAGCTGTTAACATCGAGTGTTTTACTTTACTTAAAAAAGTGAGACATGTCAAGAGTGCACACACACACACACACACACACACACAATACATCATCCATCAGAAATAACATGTGACGCAGGTAAATAGAAATATGTATACAAAATGGCTCAACATAAACATAAAATACTGATATGGGGGAATAAAAGTTCAACATACGCTGCTCTATCAAGACTTTCAATCTGAACTTGCATCACGCTTGAGCGGCAGTTTGGATTAAAAAAAATAAAAGAAAAAACTTTGTGCAGAGTCAAACGAAGGAGTGAATTAGAAAGAGGTGCTAACTGACCCGTTGACCACATTCCTCATTGGTACTTTACAACAACTCAAAAAACACTAAATTCATTTTTTTTCTTTTTTTTTTCTTTACAGGAGCATATATAGACATATACATCGATATTAAGCGTTGGCGCGGCGCTACTTGGACGTCATCTCCACGGTCGTAGAGTCGTTGCCTCCGTTGACGTCGTAGTCGCCCACCGGGCCGCTGACCAGGACCTTCATACGCTCGGGGAAGTCGTCGAATTTGGGGGAGAGCAGGAAGTCGTATATGAGCGCCGCCGCTACGCCACCGCACATGGGACCCACCCAGTACACCTGCAATGGATGACTCGTGTTAACCTCTGGAGGAGTAATAGTTAACACGACTCATGTGCAAACCACAGCTGGAATAGCACAAATATTTCAAAAGGTTTGCCAATATCAAAACAATAGGAGTCCTAGAACTGATTAACTCGTGCAGGAAGATTCACGGAGTCATCTGCCGGTTATGCAGTTATTGAATTATTTAGGCTTGACATACAATATGCATGCAGGAGGAATGTGAGGCATGCATGACTTACCCAGTGGTCTGTAAAATTGTTCAGGATCAAAGCCGGACCAAAGGAGCGAGCGGGATTGATCCCACAGCCCGTGTAGCTGATCTGGAATCAACAAGAAAGTGACACCATGAGGGGATATCTGGTGGTGTAACAGGGTCTGCGGGGCTGGAGGGTGTCCACCAGAACTACAAAAATGCATGAAATTCTTCCTCTCTGGGAGCAGCGTCGCACTTGCTGCTCGTTCACATGTCTAATCCTAGATAAACATTGCGCTATAAGGTCCAACTTACAGCTGCCAAGTGTCCCAGGCACACGGAGAGGCCGATGGCCAATGGTGCCGAGCCGGTGACATCACGCCTCCTTTTATCAGTGACTGCAATGACACACAGCACCAGCTGGAAGGTAGCCAGGAGCTCGATGCCCACGCCTTGGCTGGGAGTGACACCGCTGAGCTGCGAGAGTTAGAGAGGAATCCAAATCAACAACAACAGTTTGTCAGTCTGTGGCAGTTAGATGGATGGCTTCCCCCATCACCGCCACTTCCTCCTTTAGCAGCAGCTGGCAGTAGCCCTGGATGTGTGACAGCAGTTTGGCACAGATGCCCCAGTGCCACAGTGCTTATTCATTTCGCTTTTGTGGAAAACCTGATTATTGTTATTTAGTGCAATTTAGCTGCGGTGCACCGCATGAGGGGCGGCACAGTTTCTCAACAGCAGGGAGTTATCAGGACTTGCCAGTCTCTAGCTTTTCAGTAACAAGATAGCTGATGTTGCTCATTACGCACAGGTTGAAGACAAGCAGCAGTATTTTAGCATTTTAACATGCAAAACCCCAATTTAACCGCAACAGCTGATAACAAATATCAAGGAGTCGACGTTGCATTTGTATTTTCTTTTTCAGGTTCTTTCAGCTGTTGCAGGGTTGTGTGCTTTAATCTTGTGTCATCACTATTCAATAACAAGCGACGACAGAATGTCCACAGAACAACATAAACAGGTTCAGGGCTCACATCCTCCCAGAAGTTTCCATCATACTGCATTGCATCACATTCAAGTAGGATGTGTTTGAACTGCTGCTTTTAAGTCTCACATTGACACACACTCCATCAAACTGTTTGTACTCACAGCGTTGAGCCCCAGTGCATCAGTGGTACTTGGACGTGTTCCATACACGATGCCGCTGGCCAGGGCTGAACCCAGCATCTGGGCCACGATGTACATGACCGCCTTGAACACGCTGATCTGACAGCTGGCGAGCATCCCCAGAGTGACCGCAGGGTTCAGGTGGGCTCCACTGATGTGGCCTAAACTCTGGGCCAGCGTGGCGATGGCCAGTCCGAAGGCCAGCGACACCTTCACCTCCTGGTCTGGGTTGGCGTTGTTCGTGTTCCCAATGGCCGTGGAGATGCTGAGGAAAATGAAAAGGGTCATGCCGACCAGCTCGGCCAGGACGGCCCTCCAGAAATCCTTGCTCTTGAACTCTCTCATGCTGGCTGCTGCGTGGGCGTCCGGCTGTGGGTTTGAGCTGGTCCTCGGCAAAGTGTGTGTGTACTCACAAACAACAGCAACAGGCTGCATATATAAGGCCCGGGCTGATAATGGTCAGTGGGCGGGCTTTAAAAAAAAACTGAAAGAGAGGGCCACACTGAATTAATGAGAAATCCAAAAGACTGGTCTCTCACTTCCCTCCTTCTGCTCCCTGAGCCTCCCTCCTCCCTCCTCTCCCTGTCCTCCGGCCCCTCTCCCGCTGCCTCCCTCTGCAACACTCTCTGGTCTTTGGACTTTTGTGGTTTGCAGAAGTGGTTCTTAAAATAGCTGCATCCAAAGGTACATTTGTGCTCCTGCAAGCTTTTATAGCACTGTGAGTTTTTTGCTTTAAATCCAGGTGAAAACATTTTAAATCAAATACGTCCTTTTTGTGCCACAGCTGCAAAATTACAAGTTTTGTGTTTTTGTTTTTTTTCCTCCCATGGAGCCACGAACAGCCCGTCACAGAGAACCAGAGAGAAGACAGTTGATTCAGGAGTCAGCCTCCCTCCACTGACGAGGTTTTCTGTGTTTTTTTACAAGACCACCCAGATGACACTGCACATGCCAACTCCAGGACAAACAAAACAACACAAACCGCTTATAACTGATGCTACGAACAGATTAAAAAAAACTTGTTGCATTTCACTAGATTGCAAAAACATCACATGTACGTCTGTGAGTTGTAGAAATGGGACCAATTTCAGTGATTCATTAACTGAAGGGACGTTGTTTAAATAATTACTGGATGTTTTGTGAAACATCAACTCTGTGAACGTGAGCTGCCTGCTGCACCTGGAGCCCAACTCAACGGTGTGCATCAAAAAAGCTGCAGCCGGGCAGTTTAATAGATGTTTAAAATCTACGTTAACCCAAATACGTGGTTTCTTCTTATGTAAATATCAACGGACTTGGCTTGTAGGATTTATAACAGACGACCTGATCCTCTCTCCTTCCTGTCGCCTCCTGACTGACTGCATGTCCAGTAAAACCAAAACACAGCAGAAACTAAAGGTCTGTTTGCTTTTAATATCATTTAAGTGTTTACTTCCAACTGAATTATCTTCATCTCTCTTCATGAACTAAATTACTTGTAGTTCTTCTCAAATGAACTACTTCTCTCCTCTAAATGATTTTAATCTCCTCATCTTTTTTCACTTCAGACTGTCTCTGAGCAGCATCAAACACAGATGACTGAAAACATTTTGTCCTTACACAAATTTACGACCTTTTAATTATTAACTGTGCCAGCTCGTGCTGTCAGAAGCATGGCTCATATTTGACACGTGGTGACAGGAACAAATGAAAAAAAAAACAACTGTTGCTTAAGGATATCTTGCATTACACTGAATGCTCTCAAACCACAATGACTAATGCCTGGAGGACGTTTTATTAAGGAAATTTAGTCTTCTGCTTATCTCAGTCCTGTGTCACCAGTTGGTAGAGGACGTGTGTGCCAGTAACCGCTGGTCGCACTGTGACACCATTTCAGGGGAACTTCACATTCACTAAATGTTGCGCTGCACTGTGTGTGTTTTTTGGTGATATTTTAGCAAAGCTGTTGACTGTCAGTGAATCCCACTTGCTCAATAAGTGAGTATTAAAGGAGGCATTTAACGTTCCAAGCATATTTCATGTTGAAGGGCAAAAGGGCAAAGGCTTGCTTTAGCTTTCATATTTTATTTTCATTTTTCACATCAACATACCTCCACCTCAGATTTCTTAAAAAAAAAAAATCTCTATAGTGTGCTTTGCTGCCAGGGACCAGCAGGATGCAGATAAGAGCCATTTGTCAGTAAGGAATGACCTCACATCCCCCGTAGTCCTGAGCAAAACCCCGTTTGATTTGAAAGTACGTAAATATACAGCAGCATGCTGCGGTATTAGCAGGCGTATACCTGCATTTACATTTCTATGTTTGATGAAAGAAGCTTTTCCTGCAGAGGCCATGTTGGATTTCAAGCTCAGTGCGTCAGAGGTGAAAGACTTTGAACAAAACAAAAGAGAAGAATCATTCAAATCTGATTAAAGTAAAAGAACGCAGTTACAAACAATAAAAAACAAAGTTAAAAGTAAAAGAATAAGCACTTTAATGCTGCCAAGGGTACATGACATTTTTTATTGTGGTTTCATTTGTCACATGATTCATACTTTTGTGTGTTTTGTACAAGATTTTAATTTTGCAAAGTAAGCAGCAGCTGTCAAACAAACATAGTACAGATATCACAGTTTCCTCATTAATTCTCATACTTATCAGCCTGCACTATAATTAGACTGAATGCAATAAATACTTGCACTCCCCTGTTTTAAATGACTGCAAAGCCAACAGCACGCTGACATTGACGTTAAGCCAAAAGCCCGACTGACCCTGATGCAGTGCAGATGAAGCTAAGGCGGCCGTCTAACGAACGTACAGTACCAACCGTATCTCAGGGCAGATTAAACTCCTTCCACAGATTTCAGTTACACAACGTGCTCCCTGAGTAAGCGTCGGCCTGGCCTGCTTGATAGCCGAGTGAGGATGTGTGGTAGCAACCAGGAAGCATTTTATTGCTGCTGCAAAATAGGAGAAGGAAAATAGAGCTTTATCTTTGAAACTGATAGTCCTTTCCTCCAGTGTCAGCCAACACAATATGCACAATGCAGAGCTGGAGCACGGCCAGCAGCTAAAGAGTGTCAGGAATAGGATGAAGGCGTTTGAATTCCTAAATGTTTTGAGAGAACAGATGGTTCATATCTGTTTGATTATGACCACCTTACTCTTGACTTTTGATAAATAACTCGGTGAACATGATCTAGTGAACAACACGACTTGTTATGAGCGACACATCTGTTTGCAGTGACACTTAAAGTGAAATATGAGCTGAATAGACGAGCCTCTCTCAGTCAGGTTTGTGTTCTAGTGCACAGTGTGTTCCAGGACTGATGCAACGACACATATTCATGGCTGCTTTATTGCATCTGCTATGCATGAGCAGCACTGGAGGGAAAAAGTTCCAGTACAGGTGTGGCCGGAGGACAGGGTTGGGAAATGCAACGGAAGCACTAAAAGAATGGTGTGCATGCAAAGAGCGGTGAAAGTTTGGGGCGTTCGTGGCCAGAGGTGTGCAGTGCACCGGCAGCACGGTGAAGACTAAGCCGGGATTTGGATCCGTACGGGGCACTGTCAAGTCTGGCAATACTTACAGTCAATTATACGAGCTCCTCTCAATCCTGTTAAAAGCAGTGCGCTCCCTGCCTGGGGGGAACCGACAGCTTTACAGCACAGAGGAGCCCTGGCAGCATCAGAAATGACTTACTAACATTTAAAAGAGAAAACCTGATAGCTGGTTAAAAAAACAGTAAATAAATGATCACATTTGTCACTCGTCTAATAAACATTTTATACATCTTATGTGTCTGCTCCAGGATGAAAAATGATCGTATGCAATAAGCTTACAGAGACACAGAAAAGCAAACAGTCAAGCTGCAACACACAACAACTGACCTTATAATGGCATATGTTAAAAGAGAAACCCAACACCTAAAAGCAGGTTTGCATAATGCCGTGTCAACCAGAGTTACAGTCTGTGGTTGTGCTCATTCTCTATCATTTGTCCGGATGGATGGACACACCTGTCAAAGCACGAATGGAAGCTGCAGGAGAATAAATGTACATTTTAGTGCTTAAAATTCTGATTACTAAGATCATTTCTATGGATGAACTGAAACACGCACACCCAGATACAACCTAGAATCAAACCATTGTTTCTGTGAGGAAGGCACCTGACAGGTCTGTTCTCCAAAAACAAGTCAACTATGTGGTCCATATATAAGAACTTTTATTGGCTAAATAACTGTATTGTATACCTGCGTCCAATATATTCAACACTATTTCATGAAAAGAATGATGAAAACAGAAATAAAACAACACACACTGAACAAAAATACAAACCAACGCTTTTGTTTCCCATTTTTAATGAGCTGAACTCAAAGATCTGAGACTTTTTCTATGAACACAAAAGGCCTGTTTCTCTCAAATACTGTTCACAAATTTGTCTAAATCTGTGTTAGTGAGGGCTGCTAGGTGGCTCGTTACCGTTGCCGGTTCTCGTCCCGGTGAGGACATCCGGGATCTTTCTGCGTGGAGTCTCCATGTTCTCCCCAGTTCTCTTCCACACAGTCCAGAAACATGCTGAGGTTAATTGGTGATTGTAAATTGATCGTAGGTGTGAATGTGAGTGTGCTTGGTTGTCTGTCTCTAAGTGTAGCCCTGTGATAGACTGGTTACCTGTCCAGGTGAACCTGCCTTCACCCTGAGTCAGCTGGGATAGGCTCCAGTCCCCCTAGTGAGGATTAAGTGGTGGATAGATAATGGATGGATGGACGGATGGATGTGTTAGTGAGCACTTCTCCTTTCCAAGATAATCCATCCACCTGACAGGTGTGGCATGTCAAGATGCTGATAAGATATCAAGATGCTGATTAGACAACATGATTATTGCACAGGTGTGTCTTAGGCTGGCCACAATAAAAGGCCACTGTAGATGTGTAGTTTTACTGTACTGGGGTGGAGCAACACATCTCCTTTGCAAAGAGCTGATCAGGTTGTAGATTGTGGTCTGTGGAACGTTGCTCCACTCCTCTTCCATGGCTGTGTGAAGCTGCTGGATATTGGCAGGAACTGGACCACGCTGTCGTATGCGCCGATCCAGAGCGTCCCAAACATGCTCAGTGGGTGACATGTCCGGTGAGTACACTGGCCATGCAAGAACTGGGATGTTGTCAGCCTCCAGGAGTCGTGTCCAGATCCTGGCATCATGGGGCCGTGCATCATCAAGCTGCATCATGAGGTGATGGTCGTGGACGAACGGCACAACAACAGGCCTCAGGATCTCGTCACCGTGTTCAAAATGCCATCAATAAAATACACCTGTGCTCGCTGTCCACAACGTACTCCTGCCCATATCATAACCCCACCGCCACCGTGGGCCGCTCGATTCACAGCGTTGACACCAGCAAACTGCTCACCCACACAACGCCATGCACGCCATCTGCCACCTGTACAGGGAAAACTGGGATTCATCG